GCAAGATTTCAGCAAGCAGGAAAATTCCCATCATGCATTACCCATTAATATCAAAGCAAGGCTGAATATGAAATTTCACATTTGCTATATAATTTGTTATATTTTTTGTGTCAATGACATCACCTTATTTATTATTACACTTCTGAATCTGAACTTCCCATCACAAATCACAATATTTGTGCATTTTGAATCCCCAATCCTGCTTTGATTTTAGCAGCAAGATTTATGTAATAAGTAAAAATATTCCTGTCCTGCTTTGAACATTTGATGGAGATTGGAGATAAAAGATTCTAATCTTTTTTTCAGTATTTACATAGGCTAATTGATGGCTTCGATGCAAATGATGATTTTATAAATTTATTGCCTTTTGAGTGGTTTAAATCTTAATAGGTTAGCCTTAAAATAATAAGGCTTGGCTTTTTCCTTGTGTGCTTGAAGAAGAGTGGAAGTCTGGAAGACGTTAACAGTTAGGACAAAAAATTAAAAATCAGTTGATGAGAATTGCAGAGGCTAAGTTTATTTAATCTGACAACGTCAACAAGGAATACAGGTTTACAGGACCATATTGGCAGTCCTTTTTTGAGGAATTGAGGAGACCTATTAATGTTCAGTACAGGAAAAAATGGCGATAATGTTACCCAAAGTTTGCATATACCTCATTCAATATTCGATAAGCGCGTCTTTACCTTCAATCGGCAGTTCGGCACCACAGAGCAACTAGCACAGTCTAGTAGGCTTGCAAAATTCTAACTGGATATGAGCGGAACTCACGCAAATTTCATTCCGTTCGGGACTAGATTGCGATTCAAGTGACTAAACTAAATTGCGGATTTTAAATGCTGTTGCATCACGTTTTGATTTACATGTGAATCCATGACTCAAACCATTTTCTTTTATCAATATTAATCTCTCGTTAGTTGAAGTTTTTTTTTGGAAGAAGAATCCTCGAAAAAAATATTGCCGTAAATGCAAAAATGAACCCGAAAGATTATGAAACTTCCAAGCCTCAGTTATCGACGTTTGCGTTGGGACCTCATTGAAGCATACAATTATATTCATTGTTTGTACAAGGTCCCAGAAGGATTACTAGAATTTGAAACAAGACCCAACACCAGGGGTCACGGCTATAAACTAAAAAAACTACGGTGCAACGGATCCATGCGACACCACTTTTTCTCGCTTCGAGTCACCGACATGTGGAACAGCCTCCCTGAAGATACTGTTGACGCTCCGAGTATAAACGCGTTCAATAACAGACTAGATAAAGCTATGGCTAAATATATGTCCAGACACTAAATGCCTAGCACTATATCGAAGCCGGTGGAAGTCAAGTAGCTATTTCAAACTATCATCATTTTGGAAAAGATCCGGTCGAAGGACCTCCTTTTAGATTTCCTGTGGACAAGTCACGGAAAGTACAAGAATCGGCGACAGGCCACATCAGGCCTACTCTTCAGTGCCGACATCACTATATTATGTTATGTTAGGAACAAACATCAGGGGCCACGGCTATAAACTAAAAAATTGCGTTGTAAACACATCCATGCGACAACATTTATTCTCGCTTCCAGTCACCGACATGTGGAAAAGCCTCGCTGATGGCATCGTTGACGAATATGAACGCATTCAAGAACAGACCAGACGGGGACGCGGCCGTAGGCCACAAATTTTACTCTTAAATAAGTCCTGGAGCCAACGCCTAGCTTCATCATGCATTAATTATTCAGCCTTAGAACTAGAAGCCGCAGACTACGCTTGAACACGTAATCCAGACAAGCGACACACTGCCGAAAGAAAATAGCGCCGTAGGTCTTCTTCAGCCACTGCTTAAGCATGCTCGCTCATAAGCAGGCAGTTCCCCATCCGGCTGTACCTACTCCGACCTAACCTCTTCTGGCCTAACCTATTCACGCTGTCCCGGCTCCCAACCTTCTTGCAGCCAATGACTGGCTCTCCCAGCACACTTGGGCTGCCTTTCTAACTTCTTACAGCCAATGAGGTTAGGTTAAGTCCGCTCAGGTTGGTTTTGGGTAGAGAAATGTTGCAGCTTGTGTAGGCTAGGCCTGAAGAGGTTAGACCAGAGGAGGTTTGGCCAGATGCAATATGGCCATGTTTACCTTTGGTGAGCTTATTTTGTGGCTGTGGGCATCCGGCGCTATGGCTTTGACTTCATAGGCCGTTATGCACTCTAGTGTTCTTAGATATGGAAAGGAATATGAACTAAGTTTGGCAAAGCTGGCCTCCGACATGCGCCCCGACTAGACGAAGAGATGAAGGAGCATATGTTCAGTCTTAAAATGCCTAGTACCTTACGAGCCTTGCAATAAGTCCAGCAGCAATCTCAATCAATCGTCACTTATGGAAAGATCGGCTTCAAAAGACTGGATCCCTTGCGGAATCAAGTCACGAAAAGTACATGAATCGGCAACAAACCATGGGCCTATTTCTTCAGTGCCGACACTTCTATTCTATTCTAAGTTTTTTTAAAGAGTTTTGCAGTTTACAGCTGCAGATTTTACGAGAAGTTGTTTGATGGTGTCCGGCAAGTTGAAATGCAATTAATCCCTTTCGCCCGAAATACTTTCAGGTGCTTTTTTTATTGAGGTAATAGGGGTACTTTAAACGCTATATAGGGCACAGAAGCTGAAATAAACTTTTTTGTATATTTATATTCTTGTCAAATATTGTTTACTGTTGCATTGGAATTAGTGATGGTGAATCTTGCAATTACTTTGGTCCTACGGACCGTAATATTCACTGTCATCGGACGGACCGTAATGTTTACTGCCATCGGACGGACTGTAATGTNGCACGCCATTAGTTATGTACTGCCAACCACAGCACGCCATTAGTTATGTACTGCCAACCACTGCACGTCATTAGTTATGTACCTGTCTCTTATACACATCTAGATGTGTATAAGAGACAGGGATAGGATTATAGATCACTTGACTGTTAACCATCTTCTATCAGACTGTCAGCATGGCTTTATTGCTGGCAGATCATGCACCACTAATCTCCTGTTTACCTTGAATAATTGGACTCGCCTGCTGGACGATAGGGTGCCAGTGGATGCACTGTACCTCGATTTTGCCAAGGCATTTGATAGTGTCCCGCATGAGCGACTGTTACGGTTAGTTAATTCTTTGGGAATAGAGGGAAATGTACTCCAACTGTCTCTTATACACATCTAGATGTGTATAAGAGACAGAAACCACACTGCGCGAGATATATTCACAATAATTTAATAATTATATTATCATATTATTATTATGATATATAATAATATAATAATAATACATTATAATGTAATAATTATAGCTTTATTATATTATTATGATTATCTAACATCAATCTTCACGTGGCGGTCTATTTTTTGTATTTAAGTAGACCACTCACCGTAAGTAGACCAGCACCGTAAGTAGACCCTCACCTTGTATAGCAGACCGGTAAGCAGACCCAGCAGCAGCAGACCCCCCAGCGTCGCCAGCAGCAGCACCCACCAGGGGGCGGCGCCCCTTGTGTTCGGCAGGTCAAAGGGCGCCAGCACCACCACCGCCGCGGCCACCACCCTGGGGGCGGGGGTTGAATATGTATGATGAATATGTTGAATATGATGATGCAAATATTGAATATGATGATGTATAATATGATGATGTATGAGTGTGTTGAATATGATGATGTATGAGTATGTTGAATAGGATGTATGAGTGTATTGAATATGATGATGTATATGTTGAATATGATGATGTACGAGTGTGTTGAATATGATGATGTGTATAGTTGCAGGTTCACGATTTAACTAAAATGTTGTTCTGGAAGCTAGTTGATGCTTGATACTTGCTAACTGTAATCCAACATGCATCAAAACTAGAGACTAGGTGCGAGTTGGATACTAACACCAGATAATACCAAGTTCCGATGATTTACACGAAATTTTGTCGCCTTAAGAAACTTGAAGTTACCTGGGCCTCAGTTACCACAAAAAAAAGTTATTCACGAAGCCTACAGCAAAAAAAACCTCAACTAGATGTGAAAATTCTGCCTTGTCTATATAGAATCGGCGTCATTGCAGACTTGCCTAATCTTCAACATTCTTCAAAATCGTTTTCTATTGATGCAAGAAAAAGAAATGGCCATCGTTATTTAGGGGCCCACTCGCCTAATTATTCTGTTTTCTGTAAATGCAAGAAGAAAACGACTATCGATGTTTAGGGGCAAACTTGCCTAATTATTCCAATTTCTGTTGATGCCAGAAGAAAACGATCATCGATCTTTAGGGGTAAACTCAAATAATCTTTCCGTTTTCTGTTGAAGCGCGAAGAAAACGATCATCGATGCTCAGGGGTAAACTCACCTAATCTTTCCGTTTTCTGCTCATGCAAGAAGAAAACGACCATCGATGTTCAGGGGTAAACTCGCCATATATTTTCGTTTTCTTTTGAAGCGCGAAGAAAACGACCAGCGATGTTCAGGGGTAAACTCACCTAATCTTTCCCTTTTTTGTTGATGTGAGAAGAAAACGACCATCGATGTTTAGGGGTGACTAATTTACCTGGTTTCTGGGTGGCCGGTCCAGTGCGCGGCAGATTTTGCTTCCAATGTTACCGCGGATTCGATGCCGAATGCTTCTGTTGAACAAAAGAGTCATTCACTGAGAGAATACTCAGCTAAATAATAATATAAAATATCTATTTAATACATATTTATTATTAATAATATTTTGATGCTACACACTCAGAGAAATGAGAGAAAATTTAACCTAATATCGATGCACTTTTCGCCCCTGTGTTGGATATCAGTCCCGCTTTCTGCTCGACTTTAGGATAAGGAAATGGTTGAATACTTGGACAATGTGATCCTCTCATTTTTCTTTGTGTATATGTTCCAAAGCTTATCATATATTTTTCATCTTTGTGTTCATGAAAGTACCTCACTTATTACTAATCACTTATTTTTTACCTTTGTAAAGCACCTCACTTATTATTAAGTTTTTATTATTATCTCTCCAAGTTTTCCACGCGGTAGCACTTGCCCTGCAGTGCGGTTGTGTTAACCAATGACGTCAGCGTTATTACTTCATCTTGTAGCGCAGGTAACACGCATGTGACCAAAACACAACTCGTCGTGACATCACCACACCGTAACACCACGCCATCACCACCATCACCGCCGCCGCCATCTTGGATCACATCTTCTCCCTGTTATATTAGGCTTAAGGTTCAGTAAAACATTTTCAATAAGTGCAAGAATTTCGTCACTTAGAAGCCGGGGTATTTACATATACTGTATAGCTCATTTGTACAAAAACTATTTATTTGTAGTGCAGCAGGTCTAGTTTACTGCGTAGCAAAGTATTAATTTTATCGGTAATAGCTTCNAAGTTACCCTAAAGCACACGTATAAATTACCCCAAATGTTCACACAAAATCAGAGGACGTTCCACAAACTGGCTTAAGTTACCCTACATGGCATGCCTTCCCATACCATGTCTGATTTGCATGGATATACACGTCCCACTGTCAGACCACACGCCACCAGCCCTTCTATCCCCTATCCACCAGCAACCCTATTATTCAGCCCCCATATCCACCAGAACCCCTATCCATCAGCAACCCCTATCCACTGGCCCCTTTATCCACCACCTCTCCCAGCACAAGAATTGGGGGTGCTGATGGAGTGTTTACCATCCATCAGTACGCATTATAATCCACGAGGAAGCATATGGTCCATAAGGATCATCCATTAGCAGCCTCGCAATGTTATATCTCTCGTTTATTATCAATAAATATTTATAATATACATAACAGGCTTATATTAAATTATTAATGCTAAAAATAATGTTATTACTCCCGTGTAATAGCAATAAAATATACTAGCAATAAATAATGATAATATCTATAACAGGCTTATATTAATGCTAAAAATAATGTTATAACTTCAGAGTGGTAACAATAAATATTTATAAAAATACAGAGACTTTTTCAACGAGGCTAAGCTCACAGTGAAGAAACAATTACTGCTAAATTATTATAATTTAAATTGAAACAAATTCCTGTTAGTGGAGCAACTGACCTGCACCTGAGTGCCGACCAGCAGCAGGTGACCACCAACAGCTGCAGGAACCTGAAGCTGCAGCTGCACACTCACGGACCTCGTTACGCCGTTGTTTTGCACCTGAACAACAAGTCAACTGAATGGGTCATGTGTTCAGGATCTAAGAGAGGGGGAGTTCACCCTGGAGACCTTCAAGAGACAACTGGACGTGTCCTGGGCACAATCCCAACCAAAGGATCTAAGAGAGGAGGAGTTCACCCTGGAGACCTTCAAGAGACAACTGGACGTTTTCCTGGGCGCAATTCCAACCAAAGGATCTAAGAGAGGGGGAGTTCACCCTTGAGACCTTCAAGAGACAACTAGACGTGTTCCTGAGCACAATCCCAACCAAAGGATCTAAGAGAGGGGGAGTTCACCCTGGAGACCTTCAAGAGACAACTAGACGTGTTTCTTAGCACAATCCCAGATCGACCTCCCCTGCAACACTACCAGCGGCGAGAAGCAAGCAACAGCATCGTGCATCAGGTGGCCCAAATGAGGGCGGATGAACAGACTTGCCTAATCTTCAACATTCTTCAACACCGTTTTCTGTTGATGCGAGAAAAAAAGTCCATCGATTTTTAGGGACAAACTCGCCTAATCTTTCCGTTTTCTGTTGATTCAAGAAGAAAACGACCATCGGTGTTTAGGGGCAAACTTGCCTAATTATTGCCTTTTCTGTTGAAGCGCGAAGAAAACGATCATCGATCTTGAGGGGTAAACTCAAATAATCTTTCCGTTTTCTGTTGAAGCGCGAAGAAAACGATCATCGATGTTCAGGGGTAAACTCACCTAACCTTTCCGTTTTCTGCTTATGCAAGAAGAAAACGACCATCGATGTTCAGGGGTAAACTCGCCATATATTTTCGTTTTCTTTTGAAGCGCGAAGAAAAGGGCCACCGATGTTCAGGGGTAAACCGACCTAATCTTTCAGTTTTCTGTTGATGAGAGAAGAAAACGATCATCGATGTTAGAGGTAACTAATTTACCTGGTTTCTGGGTGGCCGGTCCACTGCGCGGCAGATTTTGCTTCCAATGTTACCGCGGATTCGATGCCGAATGCTTCTGTTGAACAAAAGAGTCATTCACTGAGAGAATACTCAGCTAAATAATAATATAAAATATCTATTTAATACATATTTATTATTAATAATATTTTGATGCTACACACTCAGAGATATGAGAGAAAATTTATCCTAATATCGATGCACTTTTCGCCCCCTGTGTTGGGTATCAGTGCCGCTCTCTGCTCGACTTCAGGATAAGAACATGGCTGACTTCTTGGACAATGTGATCCTCTCATTTTTCTTTGTGTATATGTTCCAAAGCTTATCATATATTTTTCATCTTTGTGTTCATGAAAGTACCTCACTTATTACTAATCACTTATTTTTTACCTTTGTAAAGCACCTCACTTATTATTAAGTTTTTATTATTATCTCTCCAAGTTTTCAACGCGTCAACACTTGCCCTGCAGTGCGGTTGTGTTAACCAATGACGTCAGCGTTATTACTTCATCTTGTAGCGCAGGTAACACGCATGTGACCAAAACACAACTCGTCGTGACATCACCACACCGTAACACCACGCCATCACCACCATCACCGCCGCCGCCATCTTGGATCACATCTTCTCCCTGTTATGTTAGGCTTAAGGTTCAGCAAAACATTTTCAATAAGTGCAAGAATTTCGTCACTTAGAAGCCGGGGTATTTACATATATAGCTCATTTGTACAAAAACAATTTATTTGTAGTGCAGCAGGTCTAGTTTACTGCGTAGCAAAGTATTAATTTTATCGGTAATAGCTTCATTATTTGATGTATATTTATATATTTTAGTAGATAAGAAAATTCAATTATCTTTTATGAAACAATCACAAGGCTGCCAGAGGCGTGACGTCACCCTTTTATATAGCTCATTTATACAACAACTATTTTTTTGTTGCGCAGCAGGTCTGGTTTACTGCGTAGCAAAGTATTAATTTTACCGGCAACAGCTTCATTATTTCAAATATATTAATATATTTTAATAATTATCAAAATTCAGTTATCCTCTATGGAACAATCACCCCTGTTCAAAAAAGGTGACAGGAGTAACCAGGTAACTACCGTCCTGTAAGTCTCACTAGTGTTGTGTGTAAGGTGATGGAATCGGTTATGAGGGATAGGATTATAGATCACTTGACTGTTAACCATCTTCTATCATTTTAAATCTACCGTCCGTAAGGCCAGTCTAGTCAAGAAAAGTACAAGAATCGGCGACAGGCCTATCCAGGCCTATTTATTTAATGCCGAAGATACTATACTATACCACTATACTATACTAATCACAAGGCTGCCAGAGGCGCGAGTCACCTGCGGCAGCGCCTCCACTGCGCATGCGCCGCTACGCCCGCCGCTGCTCAGCTGCAACCAATGGAAGGAAAACAGGGTTAAATTAATGTTAAAAATAATATTATAGCTCTCGTTTGTTATCAATAAATATTTATAATATCCATAACAGGCTTATGTTAATGTTAAAAATAATGTTGTATCTCTCGTGAAATGGTAATAAATATAATAGCAATAAATATTGATAGGATCTATAACAGGTTTAGATAAATTCAAAAAATAATGTTATAACTCCAGAGTAATAGCAATAAATATTATAATATCTATAACAGGCTTATATTAATGCTAAAAATGTTATTACTCCTGTGTAGTAACAATAAATATTTATAAAAATACGAGACTTTTTCAAGCGAGGCTAAGCTCACAACGAAGAAACAATTACTGCTAAATTTATTACGATATAAATTGAAACAAATTCCACTTAATGTAGCAACTGACCTGCACCTGAGTGCCGACCAGCAGCAGGTGACCGCCAGCAGCTGCAGGAACCTGAAGCTGCAGCTGCACACTCACGGACCTCGTTACGCCGTTGTTTTGCACCTGAACAACAACAAGTCATTCACAAAACTGAGACATTTCAGGCAAGGCATTCATGAAAAAAATATATTACACTTAGAAAACTGAATGGGTAATGTTGTCCATATAGTGGCACACTTTTCTACCTTCCCCCCACGAGGAGAAAGTGAGCCAAGGTATGGCAGTATGTCCCATATACTACGGCAATAGGTGCATCGCAGACTTATTCGCTCTTCTGGGCCTCCCGTAAATCATATATCAAAAAATATAACTCAGTACTCACTGTAGCGAGTGACAGAGAGCGCATTTTCTCGTCGACGAAAACGTAAAGTCACGGACAGACGGACGGACGGACGGACAGACAGACGGAGGGACGGACAGACAGACAGACGGACGGGCATGACGAGCACAATAGGGAATTTTTCACATAAATGAGAATATGCGCTAAAAATGTCATGAGACATTTTTATTAATATATAATTCATAAGAAATATCTAACGGCGGCAACACTTAAAGAAATCAAATGGGACACGTTTTCCAAATTGTTACCCACCGTGAACGTGGCATTAAGAGACTGTTTTGTCGGACCAAATCGGGTCAGGGTGACTCACAAAAGGGCAAAAAGTGCATTACCATTTAAACAAAGACACGTCACTTCTTTGAGTGCGAGTTAGAGAACATCCTGCATTACAATGCGTCATGTCATTCATGAAATGTTCGTGCTGTAGCGAGCATGAACATCCCAGTCGAAATTCGAATTCCATTCTCAGATCGGCCACCTACCCTATATTCGGCTGGAAATTATGAGCTTAGTTATAGTCATGGCGCATTAGAGTCATGGCGAGGCGCTGTTCTACGATATTATAGAATTTGTATGTATTTGCGCATGATTGTTAAAGCACCAATACCTGTGGAATACCTCAGACTACACCGCTCTCTGAATACGAGCCTTAAGTATCCAAATTACCTCCTAGCATATTAGGATAGGTGTTAGGTATCCTTCAGTACCTAAATACCTTCCATCTGCCCCACCCATTCCACACTGTTATAAAAAACGGTGAAAAAGGCGTTCTAGTGGCCGGTGGCCCCGTGAAAATAAATAAACTGTTTCACCGTTTTTATGAGATGTTTTACTGATTTCTAGTGTTAACTTAGAATAAAAACGGCGACACGGTGTTCCTTTTCACGTGCCATCGACCGGCCACTGAAACGCCGGTAATACTGTTAACGGTAATTTTTCTAACAGTGCACGTAACTACTGGTAAAATAAATCACTCACTAGATGATTGGTTGCTAAGGTGACTAGATAAAGTTACCTTAGCAACGAAGTCTAAAGCCTGGAGGGCGGCCGACGTCGCTGTGCCGTAGTAGATTGCGTCCGGGTCCGTTAAACTGAAGGCAAATTGTTAGATAAGAAAGATTAGGTAAGAGCTAAGATTAGAAAAGTAGAACATGAGATAACATTAGATATGTAAAATTAAGTAAGAGAATTTAGATAAGTAGAAATAAGTAAGAGAATATGCATCATGTTGAGGCAATAAAGATGTACATGCGGTGAATGACGCTGAAATGATATGAATCTAACACAGAAGGTGAATGGTAGGTATTGCAATGAGATCATAAGTAGAAATAAGTAAGAGAATATGCATCATGTTAAGGAAATGAAAATAAACATGAGATGAATGATGTAAGCTTATATGATATGAGTAAAACACGACGGTCACATGATAATGATGAATGAAACACAATGCTTGAATGGGACAATCGTTCACTTTCATGGTTTTCAATATGGCCGCTATGTCCGGTCGGCAATATCAAATAAATTGACTAGCACAAAACAATTTTAAAGACGTTTAAATAATAATATTACTTGTATACTGGTTTAAAAATATTTTTAATGGTAAAATATTTGAATATAACTCGAACTAATTTGTATCAGCATATATTGAGCACGGGAAGCTGACGTTTGTACAACGATGCTGACGTCCCTGGTGACCGCCAGCGTAGCTTTGTCAGCAGCAGCGGCGTTCAGCGCTGTCACGCTGACGTCAAACTCCAGCTGCGTGACATCAGCACCCTCAGCACCCTCAGCACCATCAGCACCATCAGCACCATCAGCACCCTCAGCACCCACAGCACCGACCGACGTGCTGATGGCCATCACCACCTGCGTGTTGAAATCAAACGAGTGTTAAGCCCAGCCTTCAACAACAATGAATACAGGGTTATTTTTACAATACAGCTCTGTTATTCTAAATGATGGACCTAATTTAAAAAACTTGTATTTATTTAGGTAAAAATTCAAAATTATTCATTTATACACCAATTTACAGAGAAAGATTCAAAGTTTTTGCTACATATGACCAGAGGTGGGCAGTAGCGCGCTACATGTAGCGGCCGCTACTATAGCGGCAGCTACATTTTCAGTAGCGGTAGCGGTAGCGGCGTTACATTTAAGCAATTGTAGCGGTAGCGGTAGCGGCGCTACATTTAAGCAATTGTAGCGGTAGCGGTAGCGCCCGCTACATTTAGAGCATGTAGTGGTAGTGGTAGCGACCGCTACATTTCAAAGTAGCGCTGCCCATCTATATTGATATATACTGTATAAGCCGTCGACATGTTAGAAGTACTCGACTGAATGTTGCAAGCGAATAATGAATGCCTGCAAGAATTTCGTACCAAAAAGGACTATAAAAAACAAAAAAACGTTCCATATTGGTTTTAAAACCTCAATCCCAACTAAAATATTTCTCGAATTTTTTTCCTACTTCAGAAACATATTTCATTTAGCTAACCAATNGGCGGGACGTAAACAGAGTTGCTGGTAGAGGCGAGACGTAAACAGAGTTGGTGGTAGAGGCGGGACGTAAACAGCTTCCTTAACGTAACCCCATAAGGAATAGTCACATGAGGTGAGATCTACCAGCTCTTTTGGTTGACTTACGTGGACTACGAACAAAATTTTCTTCAATCCTTCTTATGTCATCCTCAGATACACGGGGTCATCCTGAGCGTTTTCATTTTTACATACTTCTACTTTATTTAAACTACGGAAACCAAAGACTAATTCTCTTTCTTGTCGGTGGTTCAATACCGAATTTGAGATGAATTGCCCGATGCACTGTAACCAGCCACTCACTTTTAGCAAATTCAAGAAAGCAGAAAACCTTGTGCTGTACAGCAGCCATTCCACTCACAAGTGATAGTGAGAGGGTGCGCACGTAGGCCACAAATTTTGCTCTTAAATAAGCCCTGGAGAACGCCTAGCTTCACCATGCATTAAATTTACTCAGCCTTTAGAGCTAGAAGCCGTAGACTACGCTTGAACTCTGAACTCCGTAATCCAGAACAACGACGCACCGCCGAAAGATAATAGCGCCGTAGGTTTTCAGCCACTGTTTAAGCATGCTCGCCATAAGCAGGCAGTTCCCCACCCGGCTGTACCTACTCCGGCCTAACCTCTTCTGGCCTAATCTATTCACGCTGTCCCGGCTCACAACCTTCTTGCAGCCAATGACAGGCTTTACCAGCACACTTGGACCGCCTTTCTGACTTCCTGCAGCCTATGAGGTTATGTTAGGTCCGCTCAGGCCTGTTTTGGGTGGAGAAATGTTGAAACTTGTGTAGATTAGGCCGGAAGAAATTTGGCCAGATGCAGTATGGCCAATTGACCATGCTAACCTTCAGCAAGCATAAGTTGTGGCTGTGGACATCCGGCGCTATGGCTTTGAGCACATGACTTTATAGGCAGTTATGCTCTATAGCGTTCTTGCCTACGGAAACGAATATGTGTAATACTAAATGTGAAGTTTGGCAGAGCTGGCCTTCGCCATGCGCCCCATATTGAAACACCATGCAAGGCGGCTGGCTGGCGAGAGAACTCTATTGGCCGTTTCTGCAACTACCTCTGCTGCCGTTCAATTCCGCGTTTTGATTAAAAATCATTTTGAATATTTCTCTTTCCATTGGTGTATACATTTTTGATTCTGAATTTATACTTGAATAAATACGGATATATTAAATTGGGTCCATCATTTAGAATAACCCTGTATAATAAATATCAATCACATTATCTATATAACATATATCAAAACACAGTGGCAATGTAATAAATATCAAACACAACAATATGATCTATATCAAACACAACAACATTATAATACATATCAAACACCATAGCTGTAACCGCTGTTTTTCAGCCAATGGTTGGTCAAAATTAAAGACGTCTAAACTATGAATATCATAAACAATGGTCTTCACGTTACAGTCATTGAGGAGTAATTCAGACAAGTAGCCAATAAAACTTGAGATGTAAAAGGGTTGTAATTTTTATTTTTCAATGAATGGTAAACTCGGCATTCCTTGATGAGCCTCCTTGTTGTAAATATTCTTTCTAAAAAAATAGTTATGATCGAGCCTGCTGATACACGGAGGGAAAATCCCGCATACTAGCTGCTCAAATGGAGGCGTTGTGGGAAGTATGAGGGGAAAGAGACGTCGTAAATTACTCGACTGTCAGTTCACGACGGGCAGCATGGGGCAGGGAACTCAATGAGGGGCGAAGAATAATACGTGGCCAGTGTTCGGCCTAGTCCAATTAGTTATAGCCGACCGTTGGCCATTCCTCGGCCACCTGAAAGCGACCAGTTGCCGCGAGAAACGGGCTGGCTAGGATATCATATTACAAAGAGTACAAACTCGAGGCAGATCAAGGATTTTATACGATGGTCGCGAAAACCTCGCTCAGACTTCGCACGGCTTTCAATCAGGGCCTTAAGCACAGCAGAATTGTAGCAGTGAGTTGCGAGTTCGAGACCGCAAAATGCTGTGAATGTTCTGTGATGTTAAGAATCGGTGACAGGCCTACGGCCTAATAAATGCTGAAACCGCTATTATTATTATTAATACCTATTGTCGGAAGAGATCACATGCATCAGAAATGTCATTTGTATTAGTAGGATAATGAGGGATCGTAAATAGAGGTAGAGCTAAATTAATGAAATTTAATCGGTAAATCNCTTCGTCTCGATCTTGTGTCCTTGCGAGGCTTACTGAGCAATTGGCTGCAGTACACTCATCTCTGGGACCAGTGCAGTTTAGTGCCGTGTCATTTAATTTGTGGCATTGTGGCTTTTTTTCATTATTATAATATAACCTTCAGGTCTTATTCATAAAGATGTTTATTTATTCGTGCTATTTCTTCATCTCTTAGGGCAGAGCGGAGTCCCTTTCCTCTGCAATTCCTCCAATTACGTTTAGGATTTTTAGCTGCTTGGATTACGAAGCATGTTCAAAATACTTGTAAAGATTGATTGAATTATGATTGATCCCAAGACATCATCATTACAGGGGACATAATAGGAGCAATGTTAGACATTAGGCAAAACAACAGCCTAAATAACGATGATAACAATAGGATAGACAATAACAACGGCAAGGATGACGATAATACGCGGGTAACAACGAGGATTGCAAGGGATATAACTGTACAGATAATTTGAACTATACCGCGAGGTAGTATTTTATTCAACAATGAATATTAAGGTGCTTGCACACGGGGAAAGTTGTGACGGACAGTGCAACTTTAAAATACTTACCGCCACTATTTACCGTGCTAATGGCCTCGTAGATTTCCGTGAGGCATATATATGTTGCCGATCGAATACCAACTACTGGTCACGGAAGGATCCGGTAAGCCTTTGGCCAGTGGTATGATAATGATCGCAGTTAGCATTCGAAGGTTGTACTGGCTGCCACTACTGTTCCTGTGTACAAGCACCTACAATGGCTGTTATATACATGGGCTGTCCTGAGTTTTGGAATAAGGTATGGGGCGCTCACCGACGTCGGGGTCACCGGGTACGCCAAGGACCGTCACGCTAAGCGGCGTAGAAACGTCCACGATCTCCCGCTGGGTAGAGAGAGGGTGGGGTTAGGTCTCTCAACCACATATTCATCTCTCTCTTCTTTTTTTTCTTCTTATTATTCGTTTTTTAACATTCTCCCCTCTCTCTCTTCTTTATTCCTTTTACCACTTTTTACCCTGCCCATTTCAATGGTCTTTCCTGACATTACTGTCGATCTTCCGCTGATTAAGCCAGCCGTCAGTAACCAACCACATAATTTTATTCTTAATAATAAGACTGTCACATCACCAAATATCGTAGTGAATAAGTTGGAGAGTAATGACCATTAGTATTACAGATGTCCTGATTGTCTGCCTTACTCGCTCCTCTGCCAAAGGATTTGCAACCACATCATGACCCTACAGCCACACTTACTCCGCCCTCTACTTTCATGCAGTCAATGAGGTAAACGTTGCGCGTTCGGTTATGTTTTTTGGGTGGAGAGTCGGAGCAAGTGAAGAGGTAAGGCATGCGAGGGTTAAAATTCCATGAAGACTTTACTGTGGCAGTGGCCTTAAATGCTAAGTGTAGCTGTGCATGTTTAGCGCTGAGAGTTGGCTTCAGGGCTGGCTAATGATTCAAATTTGTGCCCAATGGCTGTGTTCAAAAAATTTGGATGCTGGCCTAATATTGCAACAGCCCTAACAAAAATCCTAAAACACCGATTTTAACCATCGAGATTCACTTTTCCGACTTTATGGTGGCTTTGGAGAAGGACTAGGGTTGGCTGAGCCGAGTCAGGCCGTGCTTGCCATCTGATCAGAGGCTGCACTTCAAGCGCGACTAAAGCGACAAAGAGCGACTGATTTACGTTCTCCCCGAGTCCTGGGCGGCACCTCACCGACCAAAATTTGGATGCAGGCAACAGGTGCTGCCTAGGACTCGAGGAGCACGTAAATCAGCCGCTGAAGTTGTTGGAGTTGTAGTTATAGTTATTAAAGGCAAGGACCTCACGCAGGTTGGAGTTGTAGTTGTAGCTGCTCAAGGCAAGGAACTCACGCAGGTTGGAGTTGTAGTTGTAGCTGCTCAAGGCAAGGAACTCACGCAGGTTGGAGTTGTAGTTGTAGCTGCTGAAAGTGACGCAGACGACCACCTGGAAGTCCTGTTCCTCCTTCGTCAGCAGGGACGGCGTCAGCTGCGCCGTCAGCAGAACGAGCAGGACACGACGTGTCGGCAACCGTACCACGTCACCCGCGCCACCCACCACCACATCTGTAACGCAGCCCTATCACGTCACCCATCACCACGCCATCCACACCGC